AGAACTAGTTTTTACATGTATACATCTCTAGCTGTGCGCGTAGTGAATTGCTTTTGTTTTCTAACATCGCTGCTTTGCAATAGCATTGATTAATGCAACTATATCGATATTTAGCCTGTCTATGCAAAACGATCCCCTTTCTAATTTCTGGTTACCACAACCAGATCACGCGCAACTTCACTGATGTAGTTGACACGCCAAAGTAAGTCAAATCAACTATACACATAACTATCATACAAAGATATGTAGAATGATGCAGCTATTTACTTATAACTAAATATTTTTTGTTAGGTGCACCACATCTCTTTTTTCCATGTGTATATAGTTTTCAGGATAACAGTCCCTCCTTGGAACAATTGTATATTTCGATAAAATTATATTTTGGAATATTGTTTCGTTATTATGACTATGACAGGAAATTGTGTATATGTATATCCCAGTTTCTGAATTTTAGGATTTTTGTATTGGGAGTACAAATAAGTCTCCGCCGTTTGACAAAAGATGGCCCCACCAGTAAGTAAGTTATGATTGAAATTGTCAGATGTAAAACGTCATATCGTAAGGTTGGACATCTGGCAACACCATAACCTTGAAATATTAGCGATTTTGTATCAGCATCACATAATTTTTTTCGTGCGAAAATGTCGAGTTTTGAGCCGAATAAGCGTCATTTGCGGGAACTTTTGATTTACTTCTTTAATTTGAAGAAATCTGCAGCTGGCGCATCGATTGCTTGTAGAAGCATATGATGAGGCTGCTTTAAGTGAGAGAAATTGTCGTGAGTGGTTTCAAAAATTTAAGAACGGTGAGTTTGACGTCGAAGACAAAGAACGTAGCGGAAGGCCGAAAGTGTACGAAGACGCGAAATTGGAAGCATTATTGGAGGAAAATTCGTGCCAAACGCAAGAAGAACTTGCACTTACATTAGGAGTGACTCAACAAGCAATTTCACATCGTTTAAAATCGTTGGGAATGATTCAAAAGCAAGGAAATTGGGTTCCATATGAACTGAAGTCGAGAAACGTTGAACGCCGATCTTGCATATGTGAAATGCTGCTTGCCAGGCATAAACGAAAGGGTTTTTTGCATCGTATAGTCACTGATGATGAAAAATGGATCCACTACGATAACCCAAAGAAAAGGAAATCATGGGGACCACGTGGCAATGCTTCAACATCGACAGCCAAGCCGAATATTCATGGAAAAAAACTCATGTTGTGTATTTGGTGGGATCAGCTTGGTGTCGTGTATTATGAGTTGCTCAAATCGAACAAAACCATTACTGGGGCTCTTTACCGAATACAACTGATGAGATTGAACCGAGCACTTAAGGAAAAACGCGCCCACTACTACTCCAGACACGACAAAATTATTCTCCTGCATGATAATGCTCGTCTACATGTTGCGGCGCCGGTTAAAACCTACTTGGAAACACTCAATTGGAAAGTTTTACCCCACCCGTCGTATTCACCAGACATTGCTCCTTCTGACTACCACTTGTTTCGATCGATGACGCACGGCCTGTCTGAGCAGCACTTCACATCATATGAAGATACCAAAAATTGGGTCGATTCGTGGATAGCCTCAAAAGATGAAGCGACGCGGTATCCGTATGCTGTCAGAAAGATGGGAAAAAGTAGTGGCTAGCGATAGACAATACTTTTAA